CAAACTTCAACGCGTTTTAGTTTGATTTATGCATGTGCAACACATGATAGTGCGTAAAACAGGAGTCAAAATGTTCAAGGTAAAAACTGTGGTGTGCTTATAGCGTTAGCATGAGCTGCAACCTTAAACAGGCTTGTTTAATGGTGTCAGCAGGTGTTGAATCGGAGCAGGAAGGATTTCTTCATCACACAGCTAATCAAGTTCAAGCTGAGAGGCGCAAACCCTTTAATAGACCTTCTTACAATCTGCTCCATCAAATCAGCAGTTCTACTTTTATGTCCGCTCTGCTCTTTGCTCTGTCTGACGAAAAGGGAGCATGTGTTAGACAACCATGACATCATCTATAGTTACAGTTCAGCGATCATTTGCTTTTCATTCAACTGGTCAGAGGTCACACAGTTAGGTCAGTAAATATTTAAAGGTCAATGTCGAGGCTGCATTGTTGAGCAATGTCAATGTTCTGAAGAACTAATTCCAAGTTCAGCTCACACTAATTAGAACTGATTCAATTATAGTTGATCTGTTTAGAAACTCTAAATTCAATGCAACCTGTAGCTGATGGCAGTGAGGCCTGCAGTGCTCTAGATGTTCTGGATGAGGAGATCTGGATCTGGATTTTCTCCTGGATGATCCTAATCGTCCAGGAAGAATAAGTTCAGCCATGTTTCTAATCTGAACGAATCCCACTAAAACAAACAAGGAGACAGATTGGGTCAGGCCGGCTTGGAAAACTCTTATCTTAGATTATTTCTCTTTTTTGGACTTATTTACATTCTCTTTGTCAGGTATTGATATTCATATGACAATCAAGAAAACGTTATTGATCTGAGGAGTTAGGCTGCTGAGTTAGACGTAAGAGTAAAGCCGCAGGTGGTGATGTGTTGTCGTTCAGCGCAGACTGGAGGGTTGCTCCCAGACTCCCCGTCCTGCTAGCAGGCTATTCTGAGATGATGCAGACACACACACTGACCAGACACCTGATACGCTCTGCCTCTCACATGGGGAAGCTCAGAATCACATCTAATGGACTTTGATGAAGACAGAGATAGCTTCCCGACGCACGTCTGCACACAGACTGGGCCTGATGCTACAGCGTACCCCCTACTGACACAGAACGCCACCGCCATCTCCCTCTGACATGTCCATCTCACGTTACGACGCAGTCTGGTGCACTTCGGACGCACCAGCAGTTTCACACCGGAGCTGCCTTGAAGAGACACTTCCTGCTGCTGGAGGAGTCCAGCGGTCACACAGAGTTGAGCTGCAGGGTTTCTCTCTCACCACATCCTGCCTCCCACAAGCGCACAAAGAGGCAGGGAGAGCACCTGAAACTGCAGTCGGTTGCATTTCAGTGTAGCTCTCACATTCCCAAAGGCTGCTGCCTTAAAGTCACCAAAACAGCCCGGTGTGTAACATCCACCTAATAAAGCCGTTTGTCACAGAGTAAATCCAGTCAGTTCCTTAGGATGTCTGAGTTTTCAGCCACAGCTAACAGTCTGGCCTTCCTAAAGAGCTAAATAATCTATGCTTCTCCTGAGGTGGATTTTCTACGCTCAGACACCCAGAAATTTCCTCCAATTACCGGAGCATTAAAGCTGCATGGTGTCCACGTGGAAGCGAGGACACTTGAGGAGCTTTTTTACGGCTTTTTGATGCCTCTAAGAGGAAGTAGGTCGCGAACTGAGGGGAGTTATCAAACCAGAACATCTGTGTGAAAATTCAACAGCTCCATGTGGTGTGAAGTATACGTTAACTTTAACTACACAAACCCTGAACTACTTCTGCTAAAAAGGAGAAATATTAATTTTCAGTTTGAGACAATTCGACACCATTTGGTGAGGTATTGAGCCCACTTCATGTTACAGTTCAGAGATCATTGCAGGGTTATGGTACCAACTGTATCTTTGGAGCCTTTTTTCTTTGCAGCGTCTTTGAGATAAAACTGAACAACAAAAGTTGCTCATTGTATGTGATATTGTGGTGAGAAGGTTTTTTTTTAATTATTTGCCTTTTCTACTATGATTGTAAAGATGATCAAACCTTCAACTTAACAACAACTAAAAGCTGAATAATTCAAAGATACTCATTTGAGTCAAAATGGACATTTGTCTAGAGAGCTGGACTTTCTCTAGCAATACCAGAAAGATTCAGCTCCTTACCCTCCTCATTAAGTTTTTAACTTTACTAAAATGGGGAGTATTTTAAAAAAAAATACAAGTGACCCTCTTTAGCTGACAAGGCAAACAAAAGCACTGTTTGGAAATACTTTCCCTATGAGGCAGAAGGCCAGGAAACAAGGAAATGCCGACAGATGATAGGCTAGCTGGGCTAATCCTACAGGCCACCATCTTTGTGAGAAACTTAAAATGGTCAGTAAAGCTCCTGTATATGAAACAGGACATAAACTATCTAGAACTGAGAGAAGAGAAGCTAGCTAGAGCTGAGAGTAGCTAGCTAGAGCTGAGAGTAGCTAGCTAGAGCTGAAAGTAGCCAGTTAGAGCTTAGAGTAGCTAGCTAGAGCTGAGAGAAGCTCGCTAGCGCTGAGAGTAGCTAGCTAGAGCTACTCTCACAGACACGTTAACAGAACACCTAAATGCCACTGTAAGCAGGGTATTATAAGCCTGGCGGGTCACCAGGCTAAACAATGCTTATTTTTAAAAAGTATTTTTAAAATGTTTTCATTTTTTTTAAGTGTTTATAGTTGGTGTTCAGGTATCTTCCAATCATTTAATAACATATACCGGTAATTATCAAGTGATATTTCAAAATTTCTTGTCAATTTAACTTCAAAACACAGCAGGCTGCTGGATGAATGACCGCCAGACTTAGAGCAGGGTTTCTGGGGGAAACCTTGTCGTAAGCCAAGTGGGAAATCACACCTTCCTTCCAACAAACTGGGTCTGAGGGATCCCTCAGGCCGTCACGGGTCTGTCCTAGGCAGCAAATCAGTGTCAGGGTGTGTTTGTGTGTGTGAGTGTGTGTGTGTAGCAGACAGCGTGACATCCTCTACTACTGCTGCTGCTGAGATAAAAGCCGGAGTGACAGCGGCGCCTCAGGAATGCTGCTGTAGTGAGAAAAGGAAACACGAGGAGGTGAAAGAAAAGGAAAACTGGCTGCAGCACGGAGAGATGCTGCCCAGCAAGACCGACCGGTTCTGATCTCAGGTAGAACCTGAACAACTGCTGCAATGTTCCACCAACTCATCAGCGCTGTTCTCATTTTCTTAATTACACAGCAAACCTGGCAGTTGTGACTCGGACTGATGGGCCATATCAAAAATATTCATCCCACTTTCTGATTTTTGTTCTTTTACACAAAAACACCTTCAGGGTTTTATGTAACGGACCAAAACTACCAGGCCTGTCAAAGTAACTAATGTTACTGGACAATACATTGTCCCAGAAGTTATTGCAATAATCAATGCTATTATTGTTTTGAGACCATTTTCAACTATTAGAATGGTAAACATGGCATAATAATTCAAGAACACATTCTCACATATCAATAAGGTTCAAATTCTAAAGAACATTTAACACTGGAACTGGAAGATATTTTAAATGGCCAAAATAAATAAACAAAAAACAAAATAAATTATGAAACCAGCACAGACCAGAACAAACATCCTGGTAGCTCTGCTGGACATGAACACAAGCTACTATGCTAATCAAGCTTCTGATCCAAGGTCACATTTCTCTGATTAGGAAGCCCGATGATGTTTATGAAAGCCAGCCTCTCGTCTCACACCCTGCTGGGGGCAGGAAGTCAGAAAACGGCCAGCGTGCTGATCCGAGAGGCTGCTGCTGATTTTCCAGTGGTCAGCTGACCGAGGTCCTGATGGATTCCATGTCAGAGCCGGAGCACGCGGGTTGTACTTTAACCCAGTTTTACAGGTTTCACTTCAAAAAGCATTTCTTGGCCCAAAGGACCAAACTGTGGTTCGTACTGGCCGGGCCCAGCAGAGAGCAAGCAGAACTGGACCAGGCCTGGGCGATTGGTGAGGAAGAGGGGAGGGTGGGAAGGAACAGGCGGCGCTCACACAATGAAGCTGTGAGGAAACGAGCTGAGAGGAAAGAGTAGAAGAATGGCACGCAGGCCGGGCCGGGCCGGGGCAGGACGCATATCCATCAGATACGGATCATCTGTGACACAACCTGACACGAAAGATGATCAGGGAGACACAGGTCTTTCTGCTGCCACACCCACACACTACAAATCCTGTCATGAAAATTTTTCTCAATGGTTGGATGGATAAACCAACAGAGCATCCACCACATTACATCTGGACATGTGTCCTTAACAATCAACAGACTGTTGCCAAATTAGCCACTTTGTCTGTATAGTTAGTAAATTTTCAGACAAGGAAAAAAAAATCGGTATCGGCCAAAATCGGAATCGGCAAATCTGTTTTTTCTCAGCCAGAAAGCTGCAATCAGTGAATCTCTTTCAAATGACCCGTGAGGTCATTAAGACCTGGCGTCTGCTGAAGTCAAAACTAATCAGCAGCTCAGTGAGACAGGAAGACTTGTGGTCTCTGTAGTGAGCGCTGATGCTGCGACGTCACTTCCTGTTCTCCGCTTCTTGCTGTCGGTGTGCAGCAGCAGAGAACTCAAATGTTTCCAGTCTCAGAGATGACCTTTAGGAGCGTCCAGCTGCGCTCTGCTGCCAGGCGAATAAAGCCTGTGAGCAGAGCGGCTCCCAGGGGCCGCGGCTCCGCGGGCCTCCGACCGTTCAACACGGTGAACGTGATCTCCAAAAGAAGCTGCACTGATCCACATTTTAACTAGATCAGACTCCCTCTGAGGGCCGCGCATGTGTGTGCGTGTGTGTGGTGTGTGTGTGTGTGTGTGTGTGTGTGTGTGTGTGCTTCTGCTGGAAGGAGTCCAGGTGTGACTTTCATGAACACAAGGTCACATGTGATGTTTGACTGAAGCAGAGTCACAAACACAAACAAAGATGCTGGGAGCTGCAGCAGGGCCGCAGCATCCAGCAGCGGGACTCACCCAGCGTTTTGACAGCGATCTGCCGCGTCAGAGGTGGCGGCAGGTTGATGCACACCAGATCCACGTCCTGATGCAGCAGCACGTCGTCGATCCGGTTGGTGTAGAAGGGCACGTTCATCTCCTTGGCCAGCTCCTCCGCCTCCTCCTGCGTCCGGCCCCACAGCGCCTTCACGGCGAAGCCTTCGTTCTTCAGCAGCGGGATGATCACCCGGGCGGTCAGGCTGGTGCCGAACACCCCGACCCCTGGAAGCATGGCTCCGCCTTTAACTGTTTGTTTTCCTCCGACTCAAGTCTGCGTTATTTGTCGTCCTTTTCACTGATCCGTGAGAAGCCAGCGCCGAGGCGGCGGCTGCTGCCGGCCGATCTGCAGGGGGGGAACGGCGGCTGAGACGGTCAGGTTGGCCATCCACCTGCAGCCACACACCCGCCGCGCTGCATCCCGCTCCCGCTCTGATCAGACATGCACTTCAGCTTCCACCACCAATAAAAACAACGTAAAAAATCATCCCATAGACGAGTGGGAAACTCGATCAGTTATGAAGAAATATTTGAATTCACCATTCCGGTCCTCACCCCGTCCACGTCTGGCCGCGATCAGACCGCAGAGAGGCAGAGAGAGGGCAGGTCAGCGCCCTGCAGCGGGTTAGCTCTCCATCCGTCCACCGCCGGGCCGAAACATCGAGGAACACCAGGAAGGAGCTTCATCCAGCGGCAGGTGGATCCAGAGTGCGCGGTCACCGCTGCTGGCTCCCCGGAGGAGGATCTCACCGCAGCGGCAGCTCTGGGCTGATGTTGCGGCTGTTCTGCTCGCACTGCAGCAGCTCAGCGCCGTTCTCTTCAAAATAAAAGCGGCAGCACACGCTCCCGTGTCAGAGAATCGACTGGAGCTTCTAACACACGTTGTTTCAAAACAAAGTATCGAACCCGAATCAGCAGCAACGACTGCAGGAAAATAAAGCACGAGAGAGACAATAACGGCTGTAGAAAGCTTGCGAAAAGCTTTTACTTTGAAACAATGTTTCCGGTCTTCTTTACGAAACTACCTAACTTTATGTGGCAATAGGTTGCTGGGTTTAACCTCTCAGTGTCCAGGTAGATATGGACCTTTGATAGAGTGGCCACCACAGTGGGCAGCTACACAGAGGCTGTTTTCTATGTGTGAGGCTGATGATGGTTTATTTGCATATGAGCAAGGACTCAATACACAGTGCCCCCTACAGGACAACCACTGTAGGCGCAGAAAAATATCGCCTAAATGATTAGGTCACTACCTCTCTCTCTCTCCCACACACACACCAACACACACACACAATATCAAACACATCCAATTTGTAAGCATAGTTTAATGCTATGCATATAATAAGAGTTTAAACTCATCTTGGAAACAACAAATAGAATATACACAAAATCATTGGGATAATAAACAAATGCATATAATTAACTGTCTAATTAAAATGGATTTTTCAACACATTTAGAACTTACTGAAATGCCTTATTTAAGCTAGGAGAAAGATACTTTATTTTGAAATTTAATTTTTCTCAGTTTATTTCAGTTATTCTGATAAATTTTAAATTTCACACCTCAGTATCACAGTGAAGTCAAAACAGAGACCTCAGTGAATTCTTTAGATAAAAACTTACTTTGTTGATGCAACACAACCGAGCTGAGTAAATTCAGCCCAGTCTGTTTCTTATCAAAGTCACATGAATTGCATAAAGAGACCGCGCATGCTCAGAAGCTTGACCATTTTTATCAAGGTCATTTTGGTGCATTGAGAAAAATCTCTGAGTCATTTTGTAGTTGTAGACTTTTTTGCAGTCTTTCACAAATACAAAACAATTCCACCTCCTCAAATTCTTAAGTACAAGACACAAACTGCTCTTTGAGCCCTACTTTAAAAAATCCTACTTGCAAAAATAATGGTACAAAACATCAGCAGACCTGTATCAAGAAAAAAAAAAGAAATTACAAATAGATGTTGGTTTGTTCTATGTTGTCTGAATCGTGACTTAGGTCACATTAATGTTAGTGAACAGAACTTTTTCTACTGATTTTCTCTAGTGGGCATTGTTTAACATCGTGAAGCTGCTTTAATTTGACACAAACCATCTTTTTTTGCCCCATGCAACCTGCAGGATGAGGCTTGGCTCATGCTTAAAAAGGGAAATGTTGCCCCCTTCTGGTAGCTTGCGGTTTTACCAATAAAACCCTAAAACTGATTTGCCTCTACTTTTAATATTTAGGGGTTATTGAATGATAAACTTTACCTTATTTAAAAAAGTTTTTATTAGAAAGTTTACTCAAGTTGACATGTTTAGACTGAAACGGTAATGAGGAACCAATTAGTTGCAGACAAAATGGCCACACGTTTGACCAGCTTTACTCATCAAGGAGACGTTCCCTTTCTAACATTTAGATTATTGGTGTAACACACATTACTGAACTAACCAGCAAAAGCACAAAAATAGACAAAAAATGACTAACAGTAAATTAAAGTTCATTTTCAATTGTTAGATTATTTCTCACAGCAGTGTATATTGCTCTTGAAGACAGAACAAGGCTTGACCTGATAAAAATATAGCCAGTGATGCCCACTAACAGAATTGTGGCCAATTCCTCCCAAATTAAAACTTCAAATTTTATTTTACCTGTAAAGACATTATGGACCTTCATTTACTTATTTAATGTCCTCTGGTTATCTCACACAGCTGAGTTTATTCACCACAGTCACATTACTAAGAACAAAAACCCTCTTTATTATTCATCTTTACAACTTCCAAACTTCTTAAAACAATGTGTGTGTGAGTTTGTTTGAAATGTATTTTAATCTTTGGTTACTATAGATGTAGAACAAACAGTAACATCCAACTTCATGTAGAAACAGAACCCAAACAGCTTCAGTCCAGAAAGCCTGGATGTTTGTGTTTCTTTGTGCTGTGCATGTTGGGACAAACATGAGGGGGGACAGAAGACAGTCACTGCTGTCTTCACACAAACTTCCTCTTTTTGTAAAATTCACACCTGTAAATAAACGCCTATAAGTATCAGAAGATCATGTGTGATGTAACAAACACTACAAAGAAAAAAAAAAAAGAAAAACTAGAAAGTTTCATAAGCATACATTTAACACCTGAACACGACGACAACGTAACATGTAGAACTGAGATAAAACGGTCGCGTTGGCCTTCACAGAAGTTCAGGAGAACGAGACTCTGCTCAATAAAATACTGCATGGCTAATCAGGAGCAGAAACTGTGGAGGTACACAAGGTGAGGGGGTCTTCTCTCTGCAGCACACCTTACATGGGTTGAAAATGCCCTTAAAGAAAATCCATATGGAGGTTGCTTGAAAAAAAATCCAGGTAGAAATATTGATCTCTGCTGAAATAAATTTCTAGGTTTAAATAAAATGGTCTGAAATCTAAAAAGAGAGCAGAGTAAAACCGAGTGTGGCCACGGTCGGAGATGCATTAAATAATTGTACTTCCACAGTGTCCATGTGGTCATTTTTTTGGCACTTGTTCCTCCTGTACAATAACTCATCTAATGCAGTCTAAGATTCGGAGCCAAAGGTTTCTGCTCAATAAAGCATCGTATAAAAACAGAAATGTGACTAATACAAAAAGACCGCAAACACCTTCCGCCTGTTAGCTCCTGTTGGCAATTTAGTGCTGTTGGAAAAAAAATGCTGACTTGAAAAATCAAGAGAAAAGTGAGTTAAGTGCTCAAAGATAGGATGTGCAAAGTTAACAGTATGGGGAGATTTGCACTGAATCATGCCGGACTTTTTGTGCTTTTCTAAACAATCCTGAGGGCCACTTTGATGACTTCTAGCCAATTAGCTTAAATATTATATGAATGCATGCTGTCTAACAGCCATTTCATTAAAAGGAAAAAATAAATAAATATATATTTATATTTGCAACCAAGCAGTTCTGCAGTCATTCTATATGCACCAGCTCGACTTTAGTTAAAGAAGGAGAAAATCAACAGCGCTCATGGAAATGTGAAAGGTGCACATAGAGCATCCTACTGGCTGGTCCTTTAGCATGTTAAATAGAGAAAGACAGAACACAACACTGGATGCAGAGGAACAATATTTACCCACAATGTAAAAGCAGCTAAAACTAGTTGAGTCTTTAAAACTTTGGGGAAATCCCAGTGGCTGATTCTCCTCCTCGGCCCCGCTCTGCGTCACGCTGTCATTAACCCATGTGCAGGTTTCTTCATCAGGTCGCACCAGGAACAACATGAACAAACTACAAGCTTCACATGAACAGAACAGAACAGGGTGAAGTGACAGATATAAAGTGTCTCTATGCGCCTCCTTCTCTCAGCAGGGGTTCACCACAGCCTGCAGCCGACTCCTTCAAACCAACGTCTTTCAGATCGTCAGTCAGCCCCCCAGCAAGCCCTTTTACCCTTCATAAAAACAGAATTGGGCTTTTTATCTCCCAAATAAAGAAGAACAAAAAAACAAAACAAAAACAAATGCCTGGTGAGTGGTAACCACGGCAATATGCCCTTATGTGCTTTGCTTCTTTTAGATATTCTTAGGAGTAGATGGTGATGACTTCTCGGCCACCTCCTCGCACCAGGAGGACACGGTTCAGACCCTCGAGGAGAACCTCCAGGAACTCCATGTCTTAGAGAACCAGAGTTAAGCTAGAAAGGAACAATTATGTATTTTTTTACACACTGCAAGGTAGACAAGCTGTGGTCAGCCATGCCACAGCTTGTCTGACCACAGACCAACTACTGGTCTTGTAGTTGGATTGATGTGCTATTTTATTCCATAAACCCAGAAAATTATTCCCAGTATGTTTTCCAAGGAAAACAGACAGTAGGAGGTAGTTTTATTAAGGTACCAAAAACAACCTAGAACAGTTTTGTCAATAATGCTTCTAATTGACCACACTGATACAATCTGTGGATTGATCACTAATCTTTAAAAGCTTGACCTGCTGATTCTGATTTTGGCCAATACCAACTGTCTTTTGTCTGAAAAATCATTAAATATTGTGACAAAGTCACAGAGCTGGATACAGTCTGGTGCATATAGTTATCTGCACATGTGACCTGGTGGGCTAGTCTGTCAGTCAAACCTCTTTCACTCCAGAACAATACAAGACAGTGGTTGATTTTAAACCTTTGCTGAGGTAGATAAGATCAGCTTCACATGTAAGTACTGGCTGATCACAGCTCTCCCAAAATTAAGGAAATCAGAGCCAAAAAAGTGGCCGATAAATCGATGTCTCTACCTTCAGCCTGTAGCTGTGTGGGAAGGTGAGCGGGGATTGATGCCAGTCACCCTCTTATAGCAGCCCTGAGCATTATTAGAATGAAGTGGATGAGAAAAGCTGCAGCAGAACAGCTAAACTGTGGGTTAAACTCTGTAAGATTCAGGAAAGCCAAGAAGAGCTGCTAACTGTGACATAGCCCCCTGCAGCATGAATATGCAGCTTTCACAGGGATCCTCAGCTAATGAAAACCCAGTGAAAGGATACAGTTTTCATCTCCTCCTCTGTTCTTCGGTGGTCCTGGCATGTTGAGCAGAACCAGATGGGCTCCCTGCGACTTGTTGACCACAATCTCATTCAGCTTGACAGCTGTGTGCATGCGGCGGACATTCGACTGGTTCCTGGTTTGACAAAACGTTGGCAGTGAGGAAAGCGGCAGAAAAGGAAAAACAATACGAAGATTTTATTGAAAAAGAGGCGTTTTGTATTAGATGTAAATCAGGCTCGGTTAGCTTTTCGACCTTCAAACAAAGAGGCAGCACTTAAACACAAGATGATGTGTTCACACTTAACAGGTAATCTGAAGTGTATTCCAACGTAGTCTGTCACTTTAAATGCTGCCTCTATATTTCCAGTTATCACAAAGAAGCACAGCACA